AAATGGCGGAGAAATATCGATAATCGATCCTCCACGCCGCGCCACCGGTGAGCACCTCGGCCTCTCACGACTTACCAACTCCCTCACTTTTAATGATCTCTATTGTTCTTAAGATCGGCCAACCAAGGAAGCAAGCGCCAAGTAGGATGCTGAGCCCGAGATTGTAATGTTGCGGACGAAGCCCGCGGTTGCCAAGGATGGCATCCTCCAGCGGTAAGGCGCATCAAAAAACTGGGGTTTCACACGAATTTGACATTCGTGACGAGTCTTATTGAGGAGGTCGATTACTCCGGCTCATGAAGACGCCAAGTTGCCAAATTATATTGGCATAAATAGGCACCATTTCTGGAAAGGTCATAATGAGCTAAGGTTAAACTGCACCGACCCGGTAGGTTTCCCGCGCAGGGGGCCCCCGTCATTCTGTTTCGATCGGAGTCAAATTGAGACCTTTCACTAACCACCAGGCGACGCGACGGCCACGGTAGAAACGTGAACTTCTAGACTGCCGTGCTAAGGAAGAATGCCGTAAAAGCATTCGAGAGTTGTCAAATTTCCCTTGATAAAACGAGTATTTTTGACAAAATCATGCATATTTGTCCTTGCAATTTTCAGACATTTTAGATTAAATTGCATGCAAAATTGCCTTAAAAATTGAGGGAAAAATGTTAACAATTTTCCCAGTAAATTCGGTTTTCATCGAAGGAAATTTGGCAACATCTGAAGGCTCATAAGGCGTTCTTTCTTAGCACGGTGGCAGTAGAGTCCACCATCCATCCCGATCACTATATTTTTGGAGCAACTCGATCAGCAAAAAAGCCAATGTGTTGTATAGTGAACTTCTCTAAAGGGGCTGCTCAACACGTAGGTCAACAGCCAACGAGAGGATAAGATTGTGTGTTGCTGCCAACTCTATACTGCAACGCTTTATTTGCACTAACCACTCATTGTACAGTGATACGCATTCCTGTTTTCTCAACCACAAATTTTGTTGGTGTCCGTACAGAAACAACAATAGGCTCGAGTAAATCACCAATTTCATTGGTGTTTAATAACAAACTAATAAGGGTTAATAAGGGTGAACACTAACTTTGTTCAGTGCACTGAAAAAAAAACTTCGGCCGTGGAAGCCGTACTCATGGGCTATATAGACATACCGTCCGCGTTCCGGGGTCAGATGCCGAAAGTTCCGGGCGCAAGACCTGGAGCAGTTGAAGCTACGGCTCCAGCACCCGAAACTTTGGGCCTTTGAGCCCGGAACGGACGGTGTGTCTATAAGGCCCGAACTTTTTCTTTCAGTGTGTTCAACCGTAAAAGCAAATTTTAATTTTATACAATCTAGAGGCACGCTACCCGACTCGAAGGCGTTGAAATTATCACATTTTTCAAACCATCGAATAATCAAAAGATGTTTAGGGAGAGTGATACGACGGCTTTTCCTGCGTCCGACGGGGCAGATCCCTTCAGATTTCCCATCAGACTGCTGAAACCAAGTTAAAGACTCCCGGCGTGAAGTCGGCAGAGTCTCTGACGAGGTTAAGATAAAGATTTTGAAAACAAACTCGGAGGCGGAGAGGAGGGCGAAGAAAGTGTGGTGGGCGGAAAAAATCGAGTTTGAAATATGATAAAATATTTCCCACCGGGCACGGGCGCTGCAATTTTGATTGGGAAAGCGGGGATGATTTTAATCAAGTTAGGCTGCGAGCCAAATGAGTGACGGGATTGAGGGCGTAGGCGCTGGAGAGGGATGGCGAGGGGGAGGGGGTGGAATCAGAGAGGTGGAAAAGTCCGGGGGCACACTCGGCAGCGGGAACATGATCTCAGACTCGAAGATTGGAGAAGCCGGAGCTGGAACACGAAAAGAATATCTTATTTTACTCTCTTTTATTTAATCTGACTGCTCGCCGAGCCGGGGTTCGGAAGGGTGATCTTTTGGGGAGGGGGTTGGGGGGTGAAATTATTAAGATCCCTGCCGCTCGGCTCCTTCGCGCCACTGACCGACCGAGGTTGCGGGCGCGTGAACGATGATGTGTTTCCGCGTGACGTCATTTTTCACGAGCGGCCTACGCCTACACTGCCGCCTCGAACGGTGACCGTTTCTGACCCGAAATTGAAGCGAAGCGGAATTGATATGGTGCGGAGGTTACGCGTTTGTGTTTCGTCTTCGATTTTTGAGGGAGGAGGGAAGGAAATTCCTTGTGAGGCAAATTCTATCTGTTTGAGGTTTAGTGTCTGCAAATGGGCCGGTTGCAAACTTTGGCTAGTAAAAAAAAAGCTATTACTTCTAAAAAATGGCTCAAAAATCATGAAGAGCGCAGCAGGAAAGTCTGAGATACACTCCTAATTTCACCATTTCCGTAAGAATTATGCGTTGCAAGGCGCATAAGTGCAGTTTTTTTTTAAAAAAATTGAGGTATTGATGATTTCAAGTAAAACTATAGTCTTACTGCATATTCTGTGCAAAAGTCGCTCCAAAATTCCAATTTTAAAGGATCAAAAAGTAGGTTTCAACTTTCTTTCCGCCATAAAGTTCCATGTAATTTCGTAACTTCGAACACACATTTCTCGAAATAGCAAAAACTGCACTTATGCGCCTTGTCCTCCAAGTCCCTTAATCCATGTTTTTGTAAGACGTACACGAAGAGAAAAACCTCGTGCGTGGGACCCGAGGTTTAGGTCATATGGATCTTTGAAGTTTTCGGATTGAGCATCTGAACACTTTAGGTCTAGCTGTCTAGGTTCAGATCACACATCTGAAACTTCAGTTCTTACATTTGAAGTACTTCAGATGTAAGAACCGAAGTTTTCGGATGTGAACCCCGAAATTTTTCGGATGTGAAAACCGAAGTACTTCAGATGTGTGATCCAAACCTCAGCATCTGGACCTAAAGTGTTCAGATGCTCAATCCGAAAGCTTCAGAGATCCATATGACCTGAAGTTTGGATCCCACGCACGAAGTTTTTTCTCCGTGTACAGGGATGATCTCCGCTGACCTTTGCCGCATCTCTTGTCAAAGTCGGAAAATTTTATAAAACCTCGTCCTCGGTAGAGTCCAGACGTCGGGACCACGGCTGAGATTCCGGTGACCGTCCCTCCGTCTTTTCCGCGCGCGTGATTGTCTCTATCGATGAACAAAAAGGAAATCGTCGGATCTTCAAAGGCAGCAACTGGAGCGCGAATTCTTATTCCGACGGCGAGATACAAATCCAATTGCTGCGGGACGCTTTTCGCCGGGGACGCCCTCGCCCACCGCCCAGCGCGGGCGCCGGAAGGGACTCCATTACACCGGAGAAGTTAATAATGTCTTTTTAATGAGAGCTTTCTTTCCTTCTTGCCTTACTCCGGGTCACGCCGCGTCGGGGCGCGGGCGGGGGTTGTTCAAAGTAAGTGAAACATTAAAAAGTTTCTAAATAATTTCGCTGCATCTTTCGCGTAGCTCGTTCCTCTTCGCCTTGGACGTTACGTATACTTATATATTTGAATTATATAAGCCCTTAACAACACGTCCGAGGTTCGCAACGTTTGCTGCGAGGAAGATCAAAGGCGTAGATCATATTTAAAGGAGAGCGCTTTTCCGTTTCACGCGAGAGGGCGGTAACTCCATCAGGACGTAAGCCGTGTTTAGTATGTGCTTTCGTGCGCTTCGAGGCTCATGGAAGAATGGAGATACTGCTCTTTTTCACGGCGCGGCGACCGAGATAAGATGGCTCGGCGCGCACTTCCCCGATTTGCTAACAACGCGACGGGATGTTTATGCAAATCCCCCGGATAAAAAATTACTCGACTTTTTTCAAGTGTCCGCTGGGACCAATCTCTTTTAATTGTTTAACTTTCAGATAGAAGAGCTCCGCGAGGAGCGCCCGACGACTTGGACCCGCAAAGTTTCAGGAAACCGAGTTATTTAGCGATTTCGTGCAAGTTTTGATCCTTTAAAATTCCAATACGGGTGATTTGTGCACTTGCGATCGTCCACGAGAAATGGAACCTCAGTTTTCGAGCACTGGAAAGAAAAAACACATTGGATCTAGAGTCCAGACTCTTAAAAACATTGACCAGAAAAAATTCTCTTGATTAAATCGGATTTTTGCTTGAATCAAAAGGAAATCCGCTCAAATTAAGAGGCTTGGTTCTTAATCTAAGCAAAAATCCGATTGAATCAAGGGTATTTTTTCCTTATCGATAGGACACTAGATCCAATGTGTTTTTTTCCTAGTGAGGTTGAATTTTTCAAGGGAGGAAAATTTAGTCGAATTATGTTGAAAAATAGGTGTTTGGGCTTGGACAGAAAATCATCTTGAAGCGAAAGAGTGTGAGTTATGTGTAATAAAGTTCATTTTCAAACCAATATGGGAGGTAAGGTTGCATCTAAATTCGACAACGTAGAGGCTAAAACTAATCAAAACTAAACCTATGAATGAGGAGGAATCAAATCAAAATTCAAACCGTCCAAACTCAGAGTTGTTTCGACACTGTGGAGTATTTTTCAAGCTACAATATTCATGAAACACGCCTTAAGCAGTAAAACAAGTGACTCTAATTTGATTTATCCAACACTGAGGCTCCTATCCTTAAAAAGGGTCTTATTCTATATGCTACAATAGGATTCGCAATTAACACGGAGATTGCTCCCACTGGAGCGAAATTCGCACCTGACGAGCTCGGGAGATACAACTATACCAACGCACAGGAGCTGTTTTTGCCTATCTGGCAAAATTGAAGGAGAACAACGCCGTGTGTGGGGTTCCATGCCTTGGGGAACGTGGTTTTTGTTGAAAAAATATAACGCTTGCTCCGCATTTAAACTATTGGAAAAAAATAGATTGTACACGTCACAAAATCGTATCCTATGAGGCTCAGCATGCCTATTTCATACGTAAAAAACACCGTTAAGTTTACGTATTCATAAAAGTATCTACCAGGCTCGAATTCTCTTGTAGATTACAAACTTTGACATCATTTTAACCACGTTTCTTAAGAAGAGAGAAAGAATGAAGTTAAGACTTACCACAGGAAATTACAGCTAGTGAATAAATTTTCATTCTGTAACAAAGGACAAACCCATTTAATTAGTATACTGAAATCCATACGGTATAAATTTCATAAAACAGATGATTCCTGTGGCAAACATCAAATGTTCAGCGAATGATAATAGGGGAAAATGCATCCATTAATTATGATCAGTGCTAACTAAAATTTGTCAAAATTTGCTCCGCTGAGTGCATTCGTCGAATACGTGCGCAGTTTTGATTGTTGAAAATCATGGTTGGAGAAGGAAGAAATACGCAATACGTGAAGTATTCATGCAGTCTTGTAGGCGATATGCGTTTCACGTTGACCGTTGCTGACCACACTGTGTTTGACGCATTTGATTGTTAAAAATCATGGTTAGAGAAGGAAGAAATAATCAGATCCGTTTGGACGAAACGATTTTGCGTTCCATATAAACGAAGTAATCGCCCACAGAAAGACACTGCGGTTGCCGTCATCTCTTTAACGATTGCACATACCTCCATTAGCTCCACTTAGGTGTATTACCAATCAGTAATTTTCGCATTTTCATTAGTAAAGCACGCTTATCATTGGATAAAACAGAAGTGAAGGAAACCATGGTATACACTGAGTTACGTTTATCTCTCTGCTTCTTGAAGGGCGTTAATGAGTCTGAAAATATGGCGTTTGAACGGATTCAATTATTTCTTGTTAATCTATCAGATTCTCCGGGATCCGTACGAGTCTGTGACTGCAACTGACTCACCCGCGGATGACGGAAATCTACTGTATAATAATCCGGCGGAGATAGAAAAAAGATGATATTAAGGGTGAGAAAACAAAGTTTTCCACTTAATTACGCTAAGACAGTGGGAGCGGGGAACACAATACGCTCTAAATTCCTCAAGAAAGGAAAATGGAAAAATAGAGCGAGGGAACCCCTTTTCTGTTTCGTCCATTTTAATTGAAACCTGAAAAAAAGGGGGGAAAAGCCCAGGATTTTTAATGTATTCCGAGGAGTTAATTCAAAGATTCCATTATTTTTAAGGAACGTAATTTTTTAATACGCGGCGAGGACGGTGGAAAGTTAGAACGTGGCGGGCTGTTGAGAATTTATTCAACGGAAACAGTAATTAGACGGGAGATGCGCCAACGGGAAGGCTTAGACACACAGGCCCGAGCGAAAGGGCTTATTTCAAAGTTCCGAGGTTTTTCTGGCACGGCTTATTTGGCTTCGTGAAAAATTACGGCGACTTCAAAGAGATTTCGCGGGCCATTGGTTTAGCGTTAAATTGAATTTATGTTCAAAGAGGTGAGCACTCCCGGCACTTTCCCGCGAAAAATCCTCCACCTCCTCTTCCGTGCTAAGGAAGAACGCCGTATGCGCATTCTAGAGTTGCCGAATTTCTTTCAATAAAATGTTTATTATTGAGGGAGGTTAGGATTATGTTGTCTTGAAATTTTAAGGAACTTTAAATCAAAATACTGACAAAATTCTCTGAAAAATTGGAAGACAAGCATTCATAAGTTTACCAGGGAATTCGTGTTTTATCAAAGATAATTTGGCAACGCCTGCAGGTTCATACGGCGTTTTTCCTTCGCACGGCAGTCCTCTCCCTGCCACTATCTTACACACAAATTCCTTGAATGTTTCCACGAATACCGCTGCGCTCGGGGAGAGCGCCGTATCACCATTCAAATTTTGCCAAATTATCTCACACAAAATATTTAATTTTGAAAAACGTTATGTATGAATTTCCTTGAAATTTTCAGGTGAACTCTATTCAATTTTAAACGAAATTCTCTCATGATTTAGAAGGACAACATCAAAAACTTTCTGGAAAATTTCAAATTCAGAGGAAAAAATATGACAACATCAAAATTGTCATACGACATTTTCCCGTAGCGCGGCAGAAAACCCGCCACGAAAGTGTATCGTGACTCTCTTGTCTTTCATCTCATTTTAAACTTCATTCGCGATAAATACGTGTAATACTTCTCGGAAAAATTTAACCCAATTTTCCTTTCGTTGAAAATGGATTTGATCAAGGCTGTGTTTTATAGTGAGATTCTCATTCACTGATGACGTGATAAACTTTGATCGGGTAAAGGTTCCTGAATTGAGAGAAAAAAGTGGAAGAAGTAAGTGGTCTTTAGTTGTAAAACACAAGAATGTCCAAATAATGATTTGCTCAACGATTGCATCGATGCTGTTGGTGAGCACGTCAAGGATGGAATTTATCGAATTGGCAGAAAAATTATTTTCTTGGCTGAAAAATGACCTGATTGAAGATGTTTTAAAAAACTAGATGTGTAATCACCAGTGCGGTTATGTACTTCGATTAAGGGAAGAAACTCTTGAAAAACATCCATTAAACCGTCCATTAAATCTTGTTATGTGTGTGTTGTGTTTAATCTTGCTATGCGTTTCACACCGACTGCTGCTGAACACACTGTGTTTGACGCAATGGGTGAAGTATTCATGCAGTCTTGTAGGCGCTATGCGTCTCACGCTGATCGTTCCTGACCACACTGTTTTTGACGCAATGCGCGAAGTATCCATGCAGTCTTGTGGGCGCTAATATGTGTTACACGCCGACCGCCGCGTCGAGGGCCTTTTCTTTTCATCTCAAGTTCTCGTTTTGCTCTCTGCGCCCGTTCCAAGCCAAATTGCGTTTTGGTTCCTCTCTTTACTTGACCAATTGAGGTTCTCTTATATTGATAAAAACGACAAATTAGAAATTACTATATTCTCAGGAAGTGAAGATTTTGTCGCCTTTTCTAGTTTGCAATTTTTTTTCTGACTCCGATATTTTTTTATACCTACATTTAAAAAAATTGCAAAATTTGCCGCCATGGGCCGCGGCCCATGTGGCCACCCCCTAAATCCGGCCCTGTTCCCGCCATTAATTGGAAAAGAAATCTGACTTAGAGAGCAAGTCACAGAGAGTAACAAAATTGGCACCTGACTGGAAGCTTCTTCGGAATGCAACTTATTTTATCAGTTAGGTGTTGGGCAAGGATCCACACAACAGCCCTCCAGGTCAAAAAGCACAACTCACAAAGCTACTAAGTTCAAATAACTTGTAGGGCTGGCACGGCGAGAACATTCAAAAAATGTAGTACCACATTGCCACATAGGGTGATTCTAGAAGATTGCCCTCACGGAAAAACATAAGATGCAACAGTTTTTTACCATATCTTGTTCTCTCGAAAAAATCGCAAGATTTCCAAACTTCGTAATTCTTCGGGGCTTCGCGTTAAACAAAGGCTTAACAGGTGATAAGTTCAAATACCTTATAGGACTGGCACGGAGTGACCATTCAAAAAATGTACACTGAANATTCGCTAAGCCGTTTTCTCCTCTCTCAGTTTTGAGGTTAGGTTGACCCAACCCTACCGAATGCGAATTAGAGTAGCGGAATTAGTTTCCAGCACTAATAGTGGTTAGTGTACAGAAACCAAAAATCATGTGTGTCCAAATCACACAATTTGAGTTAGTGTATAGAAACCATTTTTAGTCATCTGACGCTAACTCATTTTTTTCAGTGTAGTACCGCATTGCCACGTGGAATGATTTTGGAAGATTGCCCTCACCGAAAAAACTGCAAGAGACGCAACAGTTTTTTTATCATTTCTTGTTCTCTCCAAAATATCGAAAAATTTCCAAATTTCGTAATTCTTCAGAGCTTCGGGTTAACCAAAGGTTAAATCCTTACAACACGTGATAAAGCAGGGTCCTACCGGCCGCTAAACCCGTTACAACAGTGTTGGCAACCGTGCGCCGGCTTTTTCCCCGCAAGATTGAACAGCGAGCGAGCATTGTTGTCGTGCGAGGATCCTAAACATTGGCAACCCTGTTTTTCCTCCGCTTAATCCACAGAAAATAATCGACTTTAGGTGCAGTAGCCTGCTTCGATAGATATCGATCGTTCCACATACGTTCAAATGGTCGAAATCCAGTACAGCGAGTCTGCGATAATCGCGGCCGCTCGTTAGCACCGTGAATCTTGCACCGCTGCGCCGGCGAGATCCGAGATGTGACCCGGCGTGCACCATTAATAACAGCATCATTATCATAATGCTCCGACTTCCGTTCGCTCAGCCTCCGCCCCCGCTAACTCCCGATCCCCCCTCCCACCGACCCCCTCCCCGGTGGCTCGGAGCTTTGTGCCAAATGGCGAGCCGATCGCCGAGCCCCGACGGAACCCGATAGATCGATGAGCAGGGGCACGAGCCGGCCGGGTTTTCGGGAAAGTTCGGGCGTCTGGCCTGGCAGCAATGCGGAGCGTGGTATTTCGGACGGGCCGTCGTTATATGCACCGCCAGCCCAACCCCCCACCCTCCCGCGCCGCTCGGTCGTGGCCCCGTGCCTAGCCGCGGATCAACATCTCCGGCCGGGCTCCCGGCTCCCGTCCTCGGCAAAAGCACAGTAAGTGCGAAACGGCACACAGTGGATCGAGTCAATCAGAGAGGTCGGACAAGAAACTTTTGACTGAAACTGAAAATTTTGACGTTTATTCCGTCAATTTTCAAACTGCAAGGGGTGCATCTCGAAGAAAATCTCACGAGGAAACCAATGGAACCACTTTTAGAGTCTCAAAGTGTTGTATTAAGCGCAACCTCGAGTGGTAGATATAACTGCCCAATTTTTTCCACACAGTAAGCCCATCTTCAGAGATCTGAAAAGTTTGGAAATGTCTATTGCGACCTTTCAGCACTAGACTACTGAAAAGAGTACCGATTAAGGACCTGAGTGTGATGGAATTCCGCATTTCCGTTCAGGGGAATCTCCGGCTAACCCCGAAAATTCGACGGAAAAACATACACTTAAAAAAGTCACTAAGAACTTTTTAAAAAAATTTCCCGATGATTTCCAGGAACGTTCCCAGTGCCGGCACTTGATTTTCCCGGAAAATCGCGATCTCCAGCGGTGATACACGGATCCAAGAGCTATCTTTACAGTAAAGTCTAAAATTTCTCAAGGTTATCCCCTCAAATTCCGTGTGTTTTCCTTGAGGGCCATCATTCCAGTATATTCTTAAATTTCC